TATGTGTATGAGTATATTGCCTGCAGGTAGGTAAGTGCACCCATGTCATGCAATGCTGTGAAGGTCAGAAGAGGGCGGAGGTCAGAAGAGGGCTTCGGATTCCCCTGGAACTGGAGTTAAGTATGGTTTGTAGCCTCCATGTGGGTGCTGGGATTCTAACTTGGGTCTTCTGCAAGAGCAGCCAGTGTTCTTAACCACTGAGCCATCTCTCCAGCCCCTAATGAGATCTTTTTTGTTTGTGGAAACTTAATATTGCAGATTGTCTTTTTTGAGATAATACATTGTAGCTAGTGGGAAAGTAGATTTTTTTCCCTTTCTTAATGTATCTGAAAAGTTGCATGAAATACTTTGGTTGTAATGTTAGAAATAGGTAGCAAGAGGCAAGATGGATATAAAGGAAAGCTATGATGTCAGAGGATGTAATATATATTTTTCAGATACCCTGTACAAACCATAGATCATTTTATATATAACATGTGTTAGAGGCACAACACAGTAACTAAAGTTGGAAACATGTTAACCAGTTACATTGCGAAATCCACAAATTTGTTATTATATTTTATAAAACCTTTTGTTTCAAATACATAAATGGTTAGACTTAACCTGTACAGATCCTGTAGTGTGTGTTCCATCCAGTTTCTTTATTGGAGAAAGTGGAATCCCTTTGGAAGTAATAGCAGGAAGTATTTCTGCAGATGAACTTGTTACAAGAACACAAAGTCCCCAACACATGCACTCATCAAAATTTAAAAAAAAAAATTATCTTTATAAATATATATATATATCAGTGTTGTCTCTGGGTGTGTGTATGTGCACTACAAGCATGCCTAGTGCCCACAGAGGCTGAAAAGGTTGTTGGTCCCTGGAACTGGAGTTAAAAATGGTTTTGAGACACTATGTGGATGCTGGGCACTGGACCTGGGTTCTCTGTAAGAGCAGCAAATGCTCTTAACAGCTGAGCCATCTCTCTAACTCCATCTTTTTTTTTTTTTTTTTTAGGAATTAAAAATTTTGGGGGGGTCTTTTTGGGACAGGGTCTCCCTGTAGCCCCAGCTGGCCTGGAACTCACTGTGTAGAACAGGCTAGCCTCAAACTCGCAGAGCTCCCACCTGCTTCTGCCTTCCGAGTGCTGGGATTAAAGGCACGCGCCACCATGCCCAGCTTTTTTATTTATTTTTTGGAGACAGGATTCTTCCCTCCCCCTGCCCCCCGTAGCCCCAGCTGGCCTGAAACTGTCTATGTATGCCAGGCTAGCTTTGATCTCACAGAAAGATCCACCTGTCTCTGCCTCCTGAGTGCTGGGTTTTTTTTGTTTTTTGTTTTTTGTTTTGGTCTTTTTGAGATAGGGTCTCCCTATACCCTGAGCTGTCCTGGAACTCACTATGTAGACCAGACTGGCCTTGAACTCACAGAGATCTGCCTGCCTCTGCCTCCTGAGTGCTGGGACTATAGGCATGCACCACCACACCTGGCTGAGTGTTGGTTTTAAAGGCATGTGTCACCATGCCTGGCAAGATTTTTTTGTTGTGAGTGGGTGGGTCAGTGGTTGGTTGGTTGGTTGGTTTTTTTTTTTTTTTGGTCTTTTTGAGACAGGGTTTCCCTGTAGCTCCAGCTGTCCTGGAACTCACTATGTAGACCAGGCTGGCATTGAACTCTGCCTCCCAAGTGCTGGGATTAAAGGCGTACACCACCACACCCAGCAAGGTTGGTTGGTTTTTTGAGACAGGGTCTCCTTGTTGCCCCAACTAGCCTGGAACTTAACTATGTAGACCAGACTGGCCTCTATCTCACAGAGATCTTCTGGTCTCTGTCTCCCAAGTGCTGGGATTAAAGGTGTGTTTGCCACCAGGCCCAGCTATTTTTAATTACATAAGTCTCTATATGTAGGTATGTGCATGTGAGTGAATGCCTGCAGAGGCCAGAAGAGGGCACCAGATCTCCTGTAGCTAGAGTTCCATGTGGCTGTGAGCTGCACAGCATGGGTTCTGGGAATGAAACTTGGGTCCTTTGAAAGAACAGTATATGTACTCTTAACCACTGAACCATTTCTCCAGCCCCAGCCAGAGCTACTCTACGTGACTAAAGGAAAATGATCTATTGGGACTTTTTGTTGGTAGGCTTTTTGAATTTGAAAAAAAAAAAAAATTGGTTGTGTGCGTGTGTTTATATGCATGCCTGTACATGCATACTACAGTGAGTATGTGGAGGTCAAGGGACGGTCTCACTGGCACCTGTTGGGAGTGTTTTGTTTTTTTTTTAATTGCTTCAGTTTTCTTAATTGTTATGGATCTTTAAATTGTGTATATCGCCTTGATTTAATTTTGGTAGGTCATGTAGATTAAGGAATTTATCCATCTTTTATACATTTTCCAGGTTTTTTAAAAATATGTTGTCAATATAAATTTATAATGATTCTTTGTATTTTATTGGACAATATAGTAACCTTTTTTTCATTTCTGATTTTATTAATTTAGGTCTTCTGGGTTTTTTTTGTTTTGTTTTGTTTTGGTTAGTTGGCTAGAGGTTTGTTAATCTTATTTATTCAAAGGACCAGCTCTTCATTTGATCGATTATATATATTTTTGCCTCCATTAATTTTTCCCCCCCCGATCATTGTTATTTCTTGCTAGCTCGCTTTGGGTTTTGGAGTCTTTGTGTTTTTCTGGAACCTTGAGGTACAAGGCTATTTATTTATTTTTTTTTTTTTTTTTTGAGTGCGGAGAGCAATCACAACATTGAGATTGGTACAGGTAGAAGACCTGCCTTTGTGTTTTCAAGGCCCCCTGAGTATTAAACCACCCAGTTGGAGGGCTACAGCTATGGGTATCAAATACATTCCTGGAAAAATGAGTAGATTGAGAATTTGATCCATCTGCTGGCCTCAAGTTCAGAGCTGTTAAATTCCAGGGTAATTCTCAGTTGATGAGCTCTCTTCCTGCCCACTGAGGGCAGGGTTATTTCTTACACTTTCCCAGCCCAAGCCAGTTTTTTGCCTCTTATACTCTTCAGCCCATGAGGGTCCTTCCCTCTTGCTCTTCCCAACTGCCTCTCTGCGCTTTCTCTTACTCAGGACTGTGGCAGACTAAATTGGTACTTCCCAACCTGTATATGTTTTCTGATCTCAGGCCCTTGGGGGAGCTCTATTTTGCTTTGTTTTGGTTTTGGTCTTTTTTTTTTTTTTTTTGGTCTTTTTTGAGGCTGGATCTTCCTGTAGCCCCAGCTGTCCTGGAACTTACTATGTAGACCAGGCTGGCCTTGAGCTCACAGAGATCCGCCTGCCTCTGCCTCCCAAGTGCTGGGATTAAAGGCATGCGCCTCCACGCCCGGCTTGTTTTTGATCTTGTTTTGATTTGTTTTTGGTCTTTTTGAGACAGGGTCTCCCTATAACCTCAGCTGTCCTGGAGCTCACTATGTGGACCAGGCTGGCCTTGAATTCACAGAGATCTGCCTGCCTCTGCCTCCCCAGTGCTGGGATTAAAGGCATGTACCACCATGCCCAGTTTGAGAGCTCAGTTTTTAACAACAGATATTCTTGACAAAACGGTAATCCCTCCACCATTGACCCATATGCTAGAGGAGTCACTGTCTCACCAATCAAGAATAGAGGGGGACGGAGAAAGAACAAATTTTTGATCTCATTTTAGTAAGATGGCTAGAGTCTCACATAGTAATTAAATTCCAATTTCTTTTCTCCCTAGATGCACTCATCAAAAGGTGAAATAACAAAGACAAATGACAACCAGTCAGAAAGCTCCATGTCTACTCCATCTGCCTCATTTGAACCTAATGATATGTGTGAAAACGCTCAATCCAGAAATACAGAGCTTTGTGGGATACCAGCTACTTCTGACACAAAGTTAGATACTGCAACAGGTACAATAAAAATAGTCCTTCACTTCCTGTTTAAGGGCATGGATTAATCTTAATATAGCATCTCAGACAGATACTATGAAATCTTTACAAATGGGGCTACCATCTGATAAACACACTCTAGAGTTGGGGCTGTACTTTAGTTGGTAGAGTGTTTTCCTGACATGCATGAAGTCCTGGGTTCCATCCCCAGCACTGCATAAACCAAGCATGGTAGTGCATGTCTGTAACCCTTATACTCAAGAGACAAGATTAGTGCATGATTAGTAACTTTTACCCAGAAAATTTGCACCTTTTACAAGTTGCCTTAAATTCGGTTTAATCTCTTTCTCTTTCAATAATTAAGGAGGAGAAAGTTCAGGCTATGACAGCCCCTCTCAGGAGCCTAGTGGATGTTCAACTCAGAGACCTGCAGAAGACCTTACTGTCAGAGTGGAAAGGTTTGCTTTAACTTTTGCAGATAGCATTTAATTTAAATAAACGGTGGTTTCTAGTCATTTTGTTAACTTAAATGAAAGCAAAGCTTAACACAAATTCAGAGTTGTGAGTTGAAATTTTGAAATTTTTCCACTACCTCAGTTCCTCAGTTCCTCATACAAATTACAACTAGAGTATAGCTTTTCTGTATCTCTGAGGTTGTCAGTCAGCAATTGATCTAGCATTTTGTTCTGGGAGTCCCTTTTGGTACATACATATGTGTGTCTGTCACTTCTGCTTGTATCTGTGCTTAAAGGATAATAAGCTCCAGATGGACAAGAACTTCAGCTCATTTTATGCATATGAACTGATGTACTGAGCTGGAGTTCTACATAACTATCTACTAAATGCCTTTTTTTTTTTTTGGTCTTTTTGAGACAGGGTCTCCCTGTAGCCCAAGCTGGCCTGGAAGTCACTATGTAGACTAGGCTGACCTTGAACTCAGAGATCTGCCTGCCTCTGCTGCCACTACTGGGATTAAAGACATACACCACCATGCCTGGCTAGTTTTGGTATTTATAAAAAGCAGTGATTATAAAATTTGTCCTTTAGACCAGGTGTGGTGGCGCATGTCTTTAATCCCAGCACTTGGGAGGCAGAGGCAGATGGATCTTGGTGAGTTCAAGGCCAGCCTGGTCTACATAGTGAGTTCCAGGACAGCTGGGGCTACAGGGAGACTCTGTCTCAAAAAGACAAAAAAAAGAAAAACATTGACTAACATGAGAATGAAAGTTAGGTCCTTTCAAGCAGTATACACTGGATCTGGAGAGATGGCTCAGTAGTTAAGAGCACTGGCTGCTCTTCCAGAGGACCTGGGTTCAGTTCTCAGCATCCACATGGCAGCTAACAACTGTCTGTAACTCCAGTTCCAAGGGACCTAACACCTCTTCTGGCCTCTTGTAGGCATTGCATGCACATGCTGCACAGACATGCATGTGGGCAAAACACATAAAATAAAAATAAATACCCCCCCAAATTAAAAAAAAAAAGTAAAAAAAAAGCAGTATGCACTCTGAATCACTGAGCCTTCTTTCTCTGCCCAATTTATGCCTGTATTAATTAATTACAATTTAAAAAATTATTTTTTACAATTTAAAAAATTGTTAAGTTTTAAAATTACTTTATTTATATAAGTGTCTTCCCTGCCTGCATGTATGTAAGGCACCCATGTCATGCTGTGTCTTTGGAGGCCAGAAGAGGGTATCCAATGACTTGGAACTGGAGTTACAGTTGTCAGCCACTGTGTGGGTGCTGGGAACTGAACCCAGTTTCTCTGCAAGAGCAGCCAGTACTTTTAACCACTGAGCCATTTCCAACCCCAATTTATATTTTTTAAAATCGCTATTAAATAAATCAAAAAAAGGGGGAGAACTCTTAATAGTAAATAGGAGAAAGGGCACTTAGGTTAAAGCCAGGCTTCTGATAGACTCCTGTTGGTTCATGGATTTCTGTAGGGGATAGGAGATGATAAGATAAATTGTTGCTGCACCTTCATGAGGTTATATTTTATTTTCCCTCATTTTAACTAAAAATTTTTTAATTGTTTTTTATTTTATTTTTCAGTGAGAAGCTTTTATTTAGTATTCGTGTTCTTTTTTTTTTTTTTTTTGAGATTGCCCCAACTGTCCTAGAACTCACTATGTAGACCAGTCTAGCCTCTGCCTCCTGAGTGCTGAGATAAAAGGTATGCACCACCATGTCTCTTTTTTCAGTTTTTGAGACAGGGTCTCACTATATTAGCCCTGCCTAGAACTCAGTGTAGACTAGCCTGACCTCCGACTCAGAGATGTGGCCTGCTTCTTACTCTTGACTGCTGAGGTTAAAGGTGTGTGCCACCATGCCTAGCTCCCTAGATAAAGCTCTGAACTATGTTTTGTATTAATAAAACCTGCCTCCATGTGTTGTGCGTTTTTTTGTTTTTTGTTTTTCTTTAACCTAGACTAACAAAAAAACTTGAAGAGAGGAGAGAAGAGAAAAGGAAAGAGGAAGAACAGGTAAAGTTCATGCATTTAGTAACGTTCTATTCTCTGTTATTTGAGGGAATTTTGATTCTTGTTGTTGTTTTTCAATTTAGCAGACCTAGGTTGGGGTCCTTACAGTTCATGGTTATGGAACTGTGAAGGAACTGATCTATTCTCTGTACTTAGATTATCCTGTATAATTTTTAATTTCTCATTTTTTTAAAGATTAATTTTTATTTTTTTATGTGTATGAGTGTTTTGCCTACTGTATTTGTGTGTTGTACCAAGTGCATACAGTGCCCATAGAGGTCTGCCTCTGCCTCCCAAATGCTGAGATTAGAGTTTACCACCATGCCTGGCTTCCACTATAGGCTTAACAGAGCCACTGACAAAACTTGATAAATTGATAGACATTTGACTGTTAACAAAGTTTTACTAGCCCTTACATTTTATGATCTTCAAATTTTTTTCCTTTAATTGCATTTATATTTGTTTATTTTGTTGGGTTTGTACACGTGTGTATGTATACACATGTGCATATATCATATCTCACTTTCGGAGGTCAGAGGATAACTTGTGGGAATCTGTTTTCTCTTTCCACTATGTGGAGATCCAAGATACCAGACTCAGGGTGTCAGGCTTGGCAGCAGGTTTGCACTTTACCTGCTGACCATCTTACCAGAGACATTTTATGAAGTTCTATTTTAATTGTGCCCTACAGTCAGCTTTTCTTACATCAAAACAATGGGACAAAAGATCAAATTGTGTTTTTATTCATAAAACTTTTTCTTTGATTCAGAGAGAGATTAAGAAGGAAATTGAGAGGAGAAAAACTGGAAAAGAAATGTTGGACTATAAAAGGAAACAAGAAGAAGAATTAACAAAAAGAATGTTAGAAGAAAGAAATAGAGAAAAGGCAGAAGATAGAGCAGCTCGAGAGCGTATAAAACAGCAGATTGCATTGGTGAGTTTTGTTTGCTTGCTTACTCATTCATTCATTCATTTGGTATTTTGGTTGTTAACCTGAGCCTTTAACAGCCAAGCTTTCCCTCCAGCCCCTCATTCATTCATTTGGAAACATCATTTTGCTATGTAGTAATGTAATAACTCTGGTTCCTGACCGTTGATTAATGAAAAACACAAAACCAGATCATAAATGTGTACGGTTTGCATTTGAATTTAAGGAATTTCATGTATATTTGTTTATTCCTTATGTATGGTGAAAGGTAAAGTGTCTAATGATCTTTCATTTCAAAGGATCGTGCAGAAAGAGCTGCTCGTTTTGCAAAGACTAAGGAAGAAGTAGAGGCTGCCAAAACTGCTGCTTTGCTGGCCAGACAGGCAGAGGCAGAAGTCAAGAGGGAGACTTGTGCACGAGACAGAAGGTACTTTTCTTGCTTTATTTCATCTTGAAGTATCTGTGTACATGGGGGCTGGTTAGTATTTATGAGGTTTTTTTTTTATGTTTTTTTTAATTGGACAGTAGTTAACTTTCATTATCAAAAATTTATCAGAAACTGCTTTCTGCACCACTGTTGTGATATGCATTAATGTCCTAGTTGATGCTCTCAAGAGCATCAACAGTGCTTAGAAGAGGGCAAACACCGGGTCCTTATCAATTTGTGTTCCAAAGTCATGGAGTGATTCCTAACTGTGATGATGAAGCCAGGTTACATTCATAAGTTTGAACTTAAGAGAGTTTCCAGGTTACCCAGCTCTCAAGTATATATCAAAGAGAGTTGGGAACATGTCCACACAAAAACCTGTGCATGAATGCTAGCAGCATTATTGAAAAAAAGCCAAAATGTGATAATAAATTCCATTGTTGAAGAATGAACTATTCAACAATAAAAGGAATCAAGAACTGATAGATTCTTGGATGAACTTTGAAAACATAATGCTATATGAAAGTATGAAAGATCACATAGTGATGATTCTCTTAGGTGAAATGTCCCAACTAGGCAGATCAATTACTGGTTGCCAGGGGCTGGAAAAGAAATGAGAGTCAATATTAACAGGTTCAGAGTCCTTATAGGAAGTGATGAGATGTTCTAGGATTAGTGTTATAGCTGCATAGTTCTGCTTTTGTTTTGTTTTTGTATATTTTTTAACATTTATTTTGGAGGTGGTGTTGTTGCATATGTGCCTACCATGACATGCATGTGGAGGTCAGAGAACAACTTTCAGGAACTGGTTCTTTCCATGTAGGTTTCAGGAATTGAACTCAGTCATCTCACTGGGCCTTTGCTTTGTTTTGAGACAAGGTCCCACTCTCTATGTAGCCTAGACTTCCCTTTAATTCATGGTCTTCTTTGTTTGAGCCTCCCAATTGGTAGGCTTACAGGTGTTTGCCACCATGCTCAGCTGCAACTCTGAATGTATTAAAAACTGCCAAATTATACATATTTGAAAGCTGCATTTTATGTTACTTAAATCACAGCTCTAAGATGTATTAACAGTAATAACTTTTTTTCTTTTTTGTCTTTTTGAGACAGGGTCTCCCTGTAGCCTCAGCTGTCCTGGAACTATGTGGACCAGGCTGGCCTTGAACTCACAGAGATCTGCCTGCCTCTGCCTCCCAGGTGCTGGGATTAAAGGCATGTGCCACCACGCCCGGCTAGTAAAAACTTTTTTATGATTATTACTCTGTGTGTGTGTGTGTGTGTGTGTGTGTGTGTGTGTGGCATGAGTGCATACGTACATCATGATGTGTATGGGGACCCCTGCATAGTATGACATGCTTATGGAGATCAGAATATAAATTTGTGTTGTAGGTTTTCTCCTGCGTTTATCAAAATCAGGTTGCTAAGCTTGTACAGCAAGTGCCTTACCTGCTGAGCCATCTTGCCTGCCTAAAATATATTTCTGCTTCATTTCATCTGAATTTTTTTAACATTTGTTTATTTATGGCTGGGGTTGAGGGGTGTGCCATGGTGCATGTGTAGAGAGATCAGAGAACAGTTTGAGGGAGTTTGTACTCTCCTTCTACCGTCCTGGGGATCAAGCACATGTCATCTGTTCTAGCAGCAAGCAGCCTTACTACTGAGTGGCCCCACTGGCCCCTTGTCTGATATTTAATTATACTGTTTGAGAATCTGTAGATATGAAAATGCTAACCTGAATTTGACTTTAGTTTTCTTTTTTCATAGCACCATTGCAAGAATTCAGTTCCGGCTACCTGATGGTTCTTCCTTTACAAATCAGTTTCCTTCCAGTGCTCCTCTAGAAGAAGCAAGGCAGTTTGCTGCACAGGTGAATTTAGGAAAAATAGATGTGTGGGTTCTTTAAATGTTGATGGGGAAATTTCAAAGCAGAACTTGAAGGATGTGAGTAAATTTTGACTTACTTGAAGGATAAAGGCACTAGACATCCCTGAGATGAAAGAAGTTCTATTTTGTGTGTTACTATATACTAATACTAGGCAGTTGGCTCAGAAAACTTCTATTAGCATCCTCAACAGGGGGAATGAAAAGAAAATGGTTTCCCAGAGGCCTGAATCTGAGACATTCTTTGTCTACTTTTAGAAAGGAAGCTGTTTCTCTTTGCTCTTTCTGTTTTCTGAAGGTTGCTTAGAGGCTAGCCATTTTTTTGTTGGCCAAGGCAAAAGATCAGGAATTTACTTCAAAAATGTAAGCCTAGGCTAGATGTGGTGGCACATATCTTTAATCCCAGCACTCAGGAGGCAGATGCATATCTGAGGTTGAGGCCAGTCAGGATTTTCATTGAGAGTTCTGGGTCAGCCAAGGCTACATAGTGAGATCTTGTTTTTGTTTTTTAGTTGTTTTTTTTTTTTTTTTTTTTTTTTTAAAAAAAAGGTTTGTTAGGGTAAAGAGATGGCTCAGCAGTTAAGAGTACTGGCTACTCTTGCAGAGGACCCAGGTTCGATTCCTAGCATCCACATAGCAGCTAACAGCCATCCATAACTCCAGTTCCAAGGGATCCAACATCCTCTTTTGACCTCCATGGTCATTGCATGATAAGGGTGCGCCTACCTACATGCAATCAATATACTCATACACATTAAATAAAAATCCAAAAACTTAAAAATGTATGGGTCTACTCAAAATCTAAGTGGTTATATGAAATTTAATATCATAGGAAGTAGGATAGGTGTAATTTGCAGTTTTTATTCTCTTATTTCTCTTTTTTGGTCTTTCTGAGGCAGGGTTGTCTCATTGCCCCATGTGGTCTAGAACTCACTACATAGACCAGGCTGGCCTTGAACTCAGAGAGATCCACCTGCCTCTGTCTCCTATGTGCTGGGACTAAAGGTGTGTGCCACTACACCCAGCTTATTCTCTTATTTCTGACTCAAATGGATTCTGGGTGTCCCTTTAGGATCTGAGCTCTTTGTATGTGCCAATATTTTTCTCATAATTTCAAGGTTAAAATTAGGAAGTTGAATGTTGGGTTCAGATCTTTTTGTCAAAGTATCTCCATTTAGTCTTTTTTTTTTCCCCTCATGTTTGAGTCTTGAATACCTCAACAGCTCTCTGCCTCAGTTGTTGAACTGGACTGAACAATGTGAAAACTTGCATAAGTGTCCTTTTCTATAAGCTTTATAGTATTACCAAACCCACATGGCTATTTCATTGCTCTTTTTCTTGAGGATTCCCACAGGCATCCCCTGCTCTGCTTTATTACTCTGCTGCAAGTAAATGAAGAGGAACTATGTGGGGAAAAGATGTGTATCCTATGGGCCAGGTAGACGACTCAGTGGTTATGTAACGGTGCTTGCCACCAAGCTTGATGACCTGTGTTAGATCATCCACATGTGGAAGGCGAGAACTGACTCCCACAAATTGTCCTCTGACTTCCACACATGCACGATAGTATGTATGATATAAAAGTTACGTTTAGCTGGGCGTGGTGGCGCACGCCTTAAATCTCAGCACTTGGGAGGCAGAGGCAGGCGGATCTCTGTGAGTTCAAGGCAAGCCTGGTCTACATAATGAGTTCCAGGACAGCTGGGGCTACAGGGAAACCCTGTCTCAAAAAGACCCCCCCCCAAAAAAAATGTTATGTTTATACTCTTCTGTAGGCTAAGTGTATAGCGCTACATTTTTAAAAAATATTTTATTTTTATTTTATGTGTATGAAAGTATTGCCTGCATGTAGGTGGAGGCACTGGTGCCCATGGAGGTCAGAAGAGGGCTTCAGATTCAGAACTGAAGTTAAGGATAGTTGTTAGCTGCCATATAGGTGCTGGGAATCAAATCTGGGTCCTCTGCAAGAGCAATCAGTGCTCTTAACTGCTGAGCCATCTCTCCAGCCCCTAGTATTATATTTAAAAACAAGTGATAAAAATACCTTTTAAAATACCAAATGTGGACTGGGCCTGGTGGTATATGCCTCAAATCCCAGCGTTCCAGAGACAGAGGTAGGCAAATCTCTTGAGACCGAAGCCAGCCTGGTCTATATAGCAAGTTTCAGGCCAGCTGGGGCTTCAGGGAGACAGAAAAAAAATGTGGCATCGACATGAACACATACAAGTAGCAAATGATCCTGTTCTGTTCTCAGTGGCCAAGATAATGAAATTAGTCAAGCTATCCATCAGAAGAGTAGAGCTGGGCATGGTGGCGCACGTCTGCAGTCCCAGCACTTGGGAGGCAGAGGCAGGCGGATCTCTCAAGTTCAAGGCCAACCTAGTCTACATAGTGAGTTCCAGGACAGCTGGGGCCACAGGGAGACCCTGTTTCAAAAAAAGACGAAAAAAAGATGAGTAGAGAAAACATGGCATATATATTCATTCAATGGAGTTTTATTCAACAGAATAAAATACAAACGTCATTTACAGGAAAATGGAACTGGAGATCATACTAAGCAAAATAAAACAAGCCATACAACTACATTTTTTTCGTATGTGGAACCCAGATTTATATACACATGTGTGTATACATGTAAATATATACACATATGACATGAAAGTAGGGGGAGGATTGTTGAAGGGAAGAAAGACCAGTAGACCTGAGAGGTGGGGATGAGAGAGTGATGGGGTGAGCATGAAAACAAACCAGTATCTTCAGAGTGTGATAATATGTTATGCCTGGAGCTGGAGAGATGGCTCAGTGAGTAAGAGCACTGGCTGCTCTTGTAGAGAACCCAGGTTCAATTCCCAGCATCCACATGGTGGCTAACAACCATGTGTAATTGCCATTACAGGGGAATACAATGCCCTCTTCTGGCCCCTGCTGGTATTGCACAACATGGGCATACTTACATGCAGGCTAAAATACATTCATACACATATTTTTTTTTTTGTCTTTTTGAAGCAGGGTCTCCCTGTAGCCCCAGCTGTCCTGGAACGCACTATGTAGACCAGGCTGCCCTCAACCACAAAGAGACCCCCCTGCCTCTGCCTCCCGAGTGCTGGGACTACAGGTGTGTGCCACTATGCCCTGCTCAAAAATAATTTTTAAACAAGTTATGCCTATAAAGAAAATAATGGTCGCCGGGCGTGGTGGCACACACCTTTAATCCCAGCACTTGGGAGGCAGAGGCAGGCGGATCTCTGTGAGTTCGAGGCCAGCATGGTCTACATAGTGAGTTCCAGGACAGCTGGGGCTACAGGGAGACCCTGTCTCAAAAAAAGAAAATAATGGTCATTCTCTTTAATGTATTTGTGTATATGTATTTAGAGACAGGGTCTTGCTTTGTAGCTCAAGCCATTCCAGATTTTTAATAGAAGGACCTATAATAATACAAGTGTGTTTCTATAAGTTATTAGTGTAAATTTTCCAAGTACCAGTGAAAAACCTAGTGATGAGCTACACCTAGACTTAAAGGAGTAACTGTCACATTGTTTTACAGTACTGGGATCAACCCAGGGCCTTGCACATGCAAGGCCAGCATCTACACTTGGTGCTTTTATTTGATAATTCTGTATTGGTTGGGGAACTCTGTATTCCTATTTTGTGGTCATCTTTGACAACATGGTTTTGAAACATGGTTTTTCTAAGTGATTTGTTTGTTTTGAGACAGGGTCCTCTCTGTAGCCCCAGCTGGTCTGGAACTCACTATGTGTAGACCAGGCTGACCTGGAACACAACAGAGATTTACCTACCTCTGCCTCCCAAAGGCATGTGTCACCACACCCAGTATCTAAGTGATTTTTAAACTTTGGTTTAACTGAACTTTGTAAATTAAGGCAGTTTTAATTAAAGCCATCATTTTAGATGCATGTTCATAGTTCCTTATTTTTAAGTCATCTTTGTAAGGTTTTAAAACTTATGTTGTGTTTCAGACTGTTGGCAACACTTATGGCAATTTTTCACTAGCAACCATGTTTCCCAGGAGGGAATTTACCAAAGAAGATTATAAAAAGAAATTACTGGATTTGGAGCTTGCCCCGAGTGCTTCAGTGGTACTATTGCCAGTATGTATGCATTTTTTTTCCCCTGCTCTTAGGGTTCTTTATTCTGTTCTTGAGCCATTCTTATAATTCACAGAGGGGAAAGGATGTGGATAATTAAAATTCAAAGTATCCCAAATTAGATCAGTTTATTCTGTGCTTTATTATTTCCTTTTATTTGATTGATTGATTGATTGATTGATTGATTGATTGATTGATTGATCTTTTTGAGACAGTGTCTCCCTTTAAGCCCAGCTGGCCTGGCAATAGTTATGTAGACCAGACTGACCTCGATCTCACAGAGATCTGCCTGCCTCTGCCTCCCGAGTGCTGGGACTAAAGGCATGTGCCACTACCCCAGCATAATTCTTCTTTTAAAACAGTTCCAGGTGTACCCAGAAGTTTATATACACCTGGAAAGCAACAAAAGATGATAATTTTTGTTTCTTACAGCAGTGAAGTCAGTAGTCTCTCATTTTCCAAATAATAGGTATATTTAAGAACCCTGGGCTGGGTGTGGTGGAACATGCCTTTAATCCCAGCATTCGGGAGGCAGAGGCAGGTGATCTCTGTGAGTTTGAGGCCAGCTTGGTCTCCATAGCGAATCCAGGCCAGCTAGGGCTGTAGGGAGACCCTGTCTCAAAAAGACCAAAAAAAAAAAAAAAAAAAAAAACCCTGAGTATGATGTGTTTGGGCCAATATAATCTTAACTTGGTTTGTTTATTTTTAATTTCTAGGCAGGACGGCCAGCCACATCCATTGTACACTCTTCCAGTGGAGACATTTGGACGTTGTTGGGGACAGTGCTTTATCCATTTCTGGCCATCTGGAGACTTATTAGCAATTTCTTATTTAGTAGTCCTCCTTCTGCACAGACTTCAGCAAGAGCTACATCTCCAGAACCCTCAAACTCTGCATCATCCAACAAGTCAGAGAAAAGGTATATGTTCTTGTTTTACCTGTTTGTAAACATGTCCAAGTAGTGTCCAGTCCTCCCTCCTTGCTGATGGAACTGAGACCAGATCCTCAGGCACTTTCTCTCACTGACCTATATCCCTAGCCCTCCAGTACTGTTTCTCCTTTTCTTTTTTTTCTAGTACCATTTTTTCAAATAAAAAATTTTATAATAGATACTTTACTTTCTTCTCTGTATATGCCCTCATGTCTCCATAGTAGAACGAAAAAGTATCAATGTTCTAGAACTTTATTGTATAGAAGCTCACTTCTTGAATTAGTCACCTTTCTAAAATCTATTCTGTGGAAAGCAACTTGACCTCTACTTTTTTCCTCCCACTCATTGAATTCTTTTATCTTTACTCTTTTTATCTTTATTCTTTTTTCCCCCCAGTCATTGAATTCTTTTTATCCCATAATTATTAATACAGATTTTTTTCAAGATAGTGTCTTTTTTTGCCATGTTTTGCCCAGTATGATAGTTTATGCCACTAACTGCTTATAGTTGTGCATAATTTGTTTCTTAGAATCTATGTGTAGATCATTTTAACTATCTATGATCTACTGGCTGATTGCCTTGTGTGAGTCATTCAGAGAAGAAAATAGACACTGCCTTGAAAATGGTGCCTCTTAGCCAGACATAGTGGTACATACATACCTGTAATCTAAACACTTGAGAAGCAGAGGCAGATGCAGGAGGATTGTGAAGTCAAAGCCATTCTGGGCTATAAAGTGAGACTCTGAACCAAAAGAAAATTAAAAAGCAAGAAAATAAAAATAAAAATGGTGCCCTGAGAGAGTTACTTTGAACTAATTCTTTAAGAGGCCTTGCTTTCTTTGCAGATCAAAGGTTTGGTAGTACAGACAACCTTGATAGCTTTAGCCCATATTCAAAACAGAAATTATACCACTATGTAACAGATAATACCTGTTCTTGTTGAACATGCAAAGTTGGGCATTTTTTTTTTTTTTTTTTTTTTTTTGGTGTTTTGAGGGGCAGAGTTTCCTATAGCCCAAGCTATGTAGCTGAGAATGATGTTAAACTCATGGTCTTTCTGCCTTTATCTCCCAAGTGCTGGGGTTACAGGTGTGCACCACTGTGCCCTGACTTTTATTGGGCCTTTAGTAAGCATTATAGCAAATCTTGTATCAATCCTACATGATGACCACTGGGAACCTTTGCCTCTGACAGCTATCTTATGTAAACACCCAGTCTATATTTTATTGTTTCTGTGGATAGTAATTTATAGACTCTGATTGGGATGATTTCATATCTATCTTAACTGTTAAGCAACAAAATCAATAATATCCTTAGTGCATGTCTCAAGTTTAGGACATGGGGAAATTATTCTGTTAGTCTTTCTTTTCATATACGCACGTGTACATATATATATATATACACACACACACACACACACACACACACACACACAGAGACAGGTAGGTAGGTAGATAATGTTTTGCCTGTACCATGTATGTGAATGCCTATGGAGTTGACAAGAAGTGGGCATTGGATCATTGCCATGTGAGTGCTGGGAACCTAATCTGGGTCTTCTGCAAGAGCAACCAGTGCTCTTAACCACCGAGCTATCTCTCCAGCCCCCTTCTCTCTCTTTTCATCTAATATTTTTTTTATTTTTATTTTATTTTTAATTTTCAGCTGGGCGTGGTGGTGCACACCTTTAATCCCCTTTAATCCCAGCACTTGGGAGGCAGAGGCAGGTGGATCTCTGTGAGTTCAAGGCCAGCCTGGTCTACATAGTGAGCTCCAGGCCAGCTGGGGCTACAGGGAGACCTGTCTCTTTTTTAATTTTATGTATGTGAGTGTTTTACCTGCATGTATTAGATGTACCTGTGTTGGGCAAGGCCAGCTGTGGCCAGAGAGGGAACTGGATCCCATGGAACTGGAGTTATAGGTGGTTGTTAGCCACGTGTGGGTGCTAGGAACTGAACTGGGGTCCTCTGCAAAAGTAGCCAGTGTTCTTAACTGCTAAGCCATCTTTCCAGCCCCCAACCCCCTACCTACTCTTTAGTCTTTTTTTACAAAAAATATTTTATTGTATGTTTTCCCCCCTTTGATCTTTTTTTAAAAAATATTTTATTATTTTTATTTTGTGTGTATGAGTGTATTGCCTGCATGTATATGAGTGCACCCGT